TGCCCATATCATTGATGTGAGTCCTTTAAACATGGACACTAGACATAAACAGGCAGTTAACCCATGCAGTGTGGGGATAGCGCCACTGCAAGGGAAGTTTTTTTTCCCTGGAGATAGACTTTAAATAGTTTCCTATGGAGTTTCCTATTGTGGTCAATGTATTTCCAGCTGTTATCCTCACTGGCTAAGTTTCAAATGTGTTTTTTCTCCAAAGAATGGGTCTGCATTTATGGCACTACGTGTATGCATGTGAAGATCTTTAAATTGTACTTTCGAAAGAGACACCAAACATGTCAAGCCTTAAAATCGCACGTGCGCGAAACCTCAAAAAACTACATTACCCAAAATTGGCCATAGGCGACGCATTAAAAGCTTTTACCGCTCACCAGTTTAGTGTTATCAGTGATTGATGGCCCTTTTTTCGCGCGAGCAGGAAAAAAATGCCGTCTGGAGACGGCAACCCGCTGATGCGAGTCTGCCGTCCGTCCGTTTTTTCTTAACGGACGGACGGCAAGAGGTTAAATCGGTCCTGGAGCACAGAGGCTTTTTTTTTTTGAACTTTGGGTGGGAAAAGCCTCCATTCCTAGATCTATACCTTACCTGATGAACTAGTCCTCATTAATTACTTTCAGATATTCACAAGCCTTTTTATATGTGAACTGACTGATGCTTAGCGCTCTCTCTCTCTCTGTTCTGTGAGAGCTTGCTGTTAGGTGAAAAGGCTGAGTACTGACTGAGAGAATGTACAAGAGCTGCCTGTTTGTTTTGGTGAACCCATTAGGGGCACCCTTTTAGTCAGGAATTGACCTAAGTTTATATAGTGGATGAGTATGAATAGTACATTAAAGTGCAAGACAAACCTGCTTTCATGGTTCCTAGGTGTCCCTGCCTTGTGTATGGTTTACCACTTCTAATATCAGTTGAGCCTGTCCCCTTACAATATGAAACTTTGATACCACACCTTGTGTGCTAGTGGACCAGCACTACCTAGAACAAGGGTGGCAAACTCAAATTCATCGGGGGCCGCATCAGCAGTATGGTTACCCTCAAAGGGCCGGTTGTATAGGACTATGCATCTACTCTTTATTATCATAGTAATAGTAATCATGGTGTCCTCAATAAAGTTCTCCTGTGGACGATACCAGCAGTCTGCAACCCTCCTTTTCAACTGGCATGGAATTAAATTATTCTCATAATAATTATAAGCAGACATCCAGAGCACCCCACTCCCAATACAGCAGATGTCAAGAGCCCTCCCACCATCAAAAGTACGCTACGTACACAGTGCAGGGGTCAGGATTGAGCCTAAAAATTCCTCACATCTGTACTCTCCCCTACCTTCCTACCTGGACCAGCTCTGGTACCTCCCTGTATAGGCGGCTCCCTCCCTTTGTATTGGGCTATAGTACCTTTTTTTT